TACTTTAATCTAATACAAGACAATTCATGCAATATATAAAATATACTCTTTCCGTCCAAGCTAAAAGTATACAATTACTTTTAGCACGGAGATCAAGAAATAATAGTATTTAATTATAGTGGGTAGGTAAAAGTAATAAAATGACATTTTTGCCCTTACTTTTTTGGTATAAAAGTAACGATGTGATGTAAAGTAGGAGTATTTGTAAAAAAAAAAAAATTTGGGGTATTTAATGAAATGGTTACTTTGTAATTGGACGTCCCAGAATAGAAATATGTATATTTTCTAACTGGGGAGTATTATATTTTATACATTTATAATAAAATATGGGTGACTAAGTATACAATTTATCCTAAAAGAAAATAAATTGTCGAGCCTCCGCTATCTGCCGCCGCGTCAGAGAAGAAGCTGCCGGTGCCGCCGGAGAAGAAACCACCGGTGCCGCCACCTGCTGGAGAAGAAGAAACAAAAAGAGGACGAGCTTGCCTGTCGCCGTCACCGTCGCTTGCCGCCGTCCTTATCGCCGCCGCTGCTGCCGAGTAGTTGATGGAGGAAGAGGAGGAGAATGAAACAATATAACGGGAGAAGAAAGAGAATATGAGGAAAATTAATTTGGGATAGTTGATGGATGTTGTTATTAGAATTTTTTGTTTAAAAATATTTTAATGTTTTTAAATTGTTATTTTAAAAAGAATAATATTTAAATTTTTCAAAAATAGAAAATGGTACTTTAGGTGGCAAATTTTAAGTTTTGATTTTTTATTTTTTTTTTTAGTTTTTGTAAATTTTGATTTTTTTTAAAAGAATGTTGAGATTTTTTCATATAAAGGGAGAGTAGTTTAGGCTAAAATTTTTTATTTTGATATATATTCTTTTTGTTGTTGTTTTTAAGTTTTGGATTACTTTTAAGGAAAAATTTAATTTCCCTTTCATCCTATAAAAAGATTATCATGAACTTTTTGCTTGTTGATTTTTAATACAAATTATTATATGAATATGTAGTACAAATTAACAGAAAATTACAAAAATATTTCTATCAGTCTTTTATAATACAAATGCAATGGCGTTTGTCAAATAAATTGTATAAATATAAAAATATTTTTAATATTAAATACAATGACACAAAAACAAATGATATCTTTCTTATAGGACGAATGTAGTATTTGAAAATTTTAAAATTAGAGGAGGATAGTTTAGACGGGAATTTTTTATTTGAGTTTTTTTTTTTTTTAATTCTTTTAAGAAAAAAATTAATATTTGAAAATTTTAAATTAGCTGAGGATTGTTTAGGCGGGAATTTTTTATTTGATTTTTTTTTTTTTAAGTTTTAGATTTTTTAAGAAAAAACTTAATATTTGAAATTTTTAAATTTAGGGGAAGATAGTTTAGACGGGAATTTTTTGTTTGAAAAAAAATATTTAATATTTAAAATTTTTAAAATTAGCGGATAGGTTAGGAGGGAATTTTTTTTTTTTTAAGTTTTGGATTTTTTTAAGAAAATTTTTAATATTTGAAATTTTTTAAAATTAGGGAATGGCAGTCTAGCCGGGAATTTTTAAATTATTTTTATATTATAAAAATTTAATCAATTATTATTTAAATAATTTTAAACAATAAATACATTATTAATATATCTAAATAAAATCTAAATTAATTAATTTGTAGTGGCCGGTGAATTCAAATGATTTGATAGGTAAATTTCGAGACAAATTAAAATGAATTCGAAAGTTTCGAAACTACTAAAAGTTTAGAATTTCTGAGACTATATAAAATAGGTTCGGAATTTTCGAGACTTTTAGAATTTCTGAGACTATAAAAGTCTCGAAAATTCCGATATTAATTACAATAGGTTCAGAAGTTTCGAAACTAAAAGTCTTGAAATTTTCAAAACTTGTCAAAATAGGGTCGAAATTTCTAAAACTAATAAAAGTTTAGGAATTTTCGAAACTAATTAAAATAGGTCCAGAAGTTCCAAGACTAGAAGTTTTTAGAAATTTTTAGACTAATTAAAATAGGCTCTGAAGTCACGAGACTAAACAAAATAGGTTCAAAATTTGCGAGACTAATAAAAGTCTCAGAAATTTTGAAACTAATTACAATAGATTCAAAACTTTCGAGACTTGTGAAAATAGGTTCGGAATTTATGAGACTAATAAAAGTCTTGGAATTTCCTAAAATAATTAAAATAGGTTCGAAAGTTTCGAGACTAAAATTTTCAGAATTTTCGAAACTAATTAAAATAGGTTCGAAAGTCCCAAGACTAAAAGTCTCGAAATTTCCGTGACTAATCAAAATAAGTTCGGAATTTTCAAAACTATTCAATATAATAAATTGTATATTTAATATAACTTCGGAAAATCCGAAACTATTTAAATAATCTCAAAATTTCTGAAGCAAAAAAAAAAAATGATTTAATATTTATTATATATGTATTTTTAAAATATAGGACTTGATTTGGAAGATAATTTCGCTGCAAAAAAAGAAAATTATGTAGTGTTTGTTCTTCAATTTTCAACTCAAATTTTTCTATCAACTAATTTTCTAAAATCAATTAATCAAATACTTATTTTTTAACATATTACATTAAAATTAATTTTAATTCAAAATATTATGGTAAACAAATATATATATATTTTTAAAAATATTATTTAAAATTACATACCAACCCGCAAATCTATATACAAACACAGCCTCTGTGTGGTTACAGCTATCCTCGGCTGGTCAACTTACAATGTTACTCCCCCCGTCCAATGTAATATGGGTGTATTACCGTACACACGGGAATTTAGGTAAAATATAATTAGTAAGTAATTAAGAAATATATTAGTAAAAATAATTACTCTCTCCGTCCCAAACACCGTGCAATATTTGTGTTTGGCACGAGAATTTAGGTGGGGAGTATTAAGTATGGTAATTTGAGATAATTTGGATATTAAGTGATGTGATTGGAGAGAGAAATGATTATTTATTTATTTTATTTGACTGATGTGATGGGATAAGTGAAGTGTATATTAATATATGTATAAAAATATTATTAATTATTTCTAAATTTGGAAATGTTGCAGAGTTTGGGAAAAAAAAAAGTAAATGGTGCAGGGTGTTTGGGACGGAGAGAGTATTATTTAGTAAAAATAATTATAGCTTAAGATTAAGATAAGTAAATAGTTTAATTAAGATTAAAAAAATTTAAATTTTAAATTTTAAAATATGATTAAAGTGTATAATTAATTTTCCTAAAAAAGGGAAGGACAAATTATGTGGGACCGACGAAAATAGAAAATAGAGACAAATTAGGTGGAACGGGGGGAGTGAATTTAACTTATTTCTTCATTGACAATATTGCTACCAAATTGCTACATAATATTAAAAAAAATAAAATAAAATAAAAAGGTTAATTGTCACCAACTCTCAAAATTTTCTAATGGCCAATACGACCATGTCCATACCTTAATATGTTTTGACAATGTCAAGAATGTCTCTACCCTCATCTCTCTCAGTATATATATATATATATATATATATTACATCTCTCAAAATTTATTGAGAATTAGCCATGAAAGTAGTGGCATGCTTACTTTTGCTGCTACTGATAATGTATGGCTGCCCGACCATTTCAAGTCGGGCTGCCCGAGTGCTTAGAGACAGAGTGCCGTCGCCACCATCGCCTGTACATAGTCCGATGCACCATTATATTCCTCCTGATCTGCCACCGCCGCCGCCATCGCCGTGCCCGCCTTCCCGGGGCCACGGCCATCACTGCAACTATTATTAGTCGTGATTTGTAGGATGCTTGTATTGAAATATTTTAGATATTCAGTTAAAATTTAGATTTGATCTTATATATGTATTAGATTATTTAGATTTGAGTCTATCGAGTCTGTTTTATATTGAATATATATATATATATAAGCGTTTATCTTGATGATCAAATAATGCAAATTTTCAATTTCCATTAGAGATTATCACAGTTTGAATTGTGATGTTTTTTGTTTTATTGCAGCTTTAATAATAGAATATGGCATTGTAATTTTTGTCATATATATATATATATATTAAATTATGGTTATTGTTTCACACATATATATATATAGTTGCAAATATAATTTTATACTCTTTCTATTATAAAAAATATATTTATTTTGTTTTAACAAAAGAATACACACTACATTAAAATATGTACCCAAATTAAGTGAATATATTTTTACATGATAGAAGAGGAAGTATATCTTATAAAATATTTGTGATTTTTGTTATAGTTTCTCATATAATTCAAGCAATATGTGACTTTCACTTGAGCAATTAAAATTAGATAAATATATAAATTTTACATAATCAAATTGCATTAATTTTTTGATATGTTCGTATTTCCCTCTATTTTCAACGAGATACAATCACATATAGCAACCTTTGTGTGTCTTGAGTGTTATTGGTCCACATAGGTAGAGATGGAACTACAGTCCACATAGGTAGAGATGGAACTACATTAGGGCTTGAAGGTCCGCATATATTTGTTTTTGAATTTTTCTCCAAAAGGATTGATACCAGTGGAATTTAATTTATGTGAGACTTATAAGGTGTGAATTTTTCTTTAGCGTGGGTGTCTGAGATTTCCGTTGATCCCCTTCGCAGGTGAGGCCCTTGATAGGAGCGACTGAGTTCATCATCCATCAACTCGACTACATGATTTTTTTGTGAGTATGGTTTTTGGAGCTCCCCATTTTTCGAATTTTTTGGTCATCACCCTTATCCTTTTATCTACATGCCTAATTTAAGATAGATTCTCTACTTCAAATCATTTTTATTTGGCTACCATCTCCGATCATTGCAAACCTCGATTTTGTAGTGAAGTTGTAAAGAGTGTCAACACACAAGACACATGAAAATTTATTGTCATTTTGCATAATGGCGATGTCACTACTATTTTTTGGTCGTTTGTGATTTATTATAGTAGTTTTGATAGTCCTATATATGCATATATATATATATATATATATATTGGGAATAAGAACAGGCAACCATTGACAAATAATTTGTTCTTCCATTATTGATTCTTTCATACCTAAAGTACATTGGTATATAACCTCTAAAATGACCTAAATTTGAAGGAATATTATCAACGATATATAACATAATTAATTGTAATTGTAATTTAAACTCACAGATAGCCAGAGACGTAGATGTCTGAATGCAATGCAATGTATTTGTCTCGTCGTCGTCACCCTGCTCGACTTTCGACACAAGACGGTGGGATCATCCAACGCAAGAACATTATAAATCGGCGAAAAAATGGTAAAAGCTGGAGTCGACAGCAATGAGCCTCAGGGCAGCACCCGAAGCCGCCACAGCCATGCATCCGAAGAACCATATATTAAGCCAATGCCAGCTCTTCTGGAAGGACTCAAGCTTGTAGTCCTTAGCCACCAGATACATGTGGTTCGCAAGCACAAACGTAAGCGGGATCGTGCTCACAGCCCCCGTAAGGCTCATAAAATCGCCCAAGAATGGCAGCAATGCTGATACAAATGTCGTTATCCCCAAGTACCCGCCCCTCATCGCCACTCTGAACCACAAGTTACGGATGGCTAACGCGCTTCCTTTGATATCGCACCTCGTGTCTAAGTACTCGTACATAGGGCTTGCGAAGATCTGAAACCAGTGGAAATAGATAGCACTTCAAAGAAAATAATAAGGACTGTATATTGTGATCGAAAGGAAGGCGATGATGATGATGATTTACGTGTAGAGCGACTATAGTTTGCAAGAAAGCAGAAAGGTTAGCCACTGCCTTCAGCCAGACCGGGCCATTGACATTGTTCAGCAAGTATGCCGATGCTTTAAAACCATAAGCCCAGTAGCCAACAATCGTGACGGCATACAATGGAAGAACCCCGACTGTGAACTGGAAATACAGCGCCTTCATCATGTTCCCAATCACCGGTGGCCTCACTGTTGCCTGCCGACCAGAAAAATGAGCAGTCGTGAGGTTCATACTAGACGTGGGTATTATTTTTTTTCAAATAAAAGAACTATTATGAGCAATTATTTCCATTTGATTTGAGGGTGGGATATCTGCCTGTATCTCGGGAAGCATTCCGGTATTGAAAGCAAAAAAGAGATTTGATAATGCACCAACTGCTGTAAAAATCCTGCTTGTAATTGTTCCCGGAATGCTGTAATTTCGGGGAGGAGCTTCAAGGCCTGTCCAAGTGCAGAAAGAGCATCACAAAATGGTTCGGAGGCTGAAAATTTATATCAAACAATAACAAAATACATAGCAAAATGTAAGCGACTCCAAAAACATAATATTGAAAGGCGAAGGTTTTAAAGATCGAGATTTTCATTAAATAAATAAGCAGTAAAAAACTTCACCTTGGTTCCCATGTCACTCAAAGCCCATCTGTAAAGACAAGAAAAGCTCTCTGCAGTTCTAAGCAATGCTAATCATCACTGAAACTAGAAACTTTACCTTTCCTTTGTTGCACCTAATTCGGAGTGTATGCACAGGTAGGACAATAAAAATACGTGAGATGCACATAAAAAAACACATCTATATGTGAATTTACAATGCCGAACTCATGCAATCATAAAAAATGGTTCAGTAAATTGCATTGGAAATCATATTCATGAACTGGTAGGATCATTTAGAAGATAGACATGGAAAGTGTTTTATATCAGTTTTAAAAATTCAGTGAAGTGGGATTTTTTACCTTTCGGATGAGTTAAAACATCAGTATCCTACATAAACCAAATATCTACGCGGAAGAAGGAATAATAATCAAGTAAACAAGTTCAAGACTTCAGATAAAGATTAAAAAGGAAAGCAAGAGACTGTACCGTCCTTGAGGGCCAGGGCAAATACAATGACAAAGTACACAAGACTGAAAAATGTCGAAACTGCCAGCCAAACCCGGAGTGCTGATAAATTTGGTATGAGAATGGCAAACAGACTGCACACAAGCCCCGCTATTCCGATAAAATGCGGAAGCTTCATGGCATGGTCATCTTGGAAAAGGACATACATCGCCTGCAAGTAATGCCCGCAGAATCGAAACAATAAGGTAATGAAGTCTCAATTAGCTCAATCAAAATCAACTGGATTGTTTGTGGGAATGAAAGACACTACTCTGTCCACTAAAATTATATACAATTCCTTTTTTTGGTGTTATCTAAACTTATGCCTAATCCATTTTTAGTATACAATTTTATCCACCCAAAATTTTATTACATCTACTTTAACAAATTATAAACAATTTACTATTTGTCCATATCCAAGCTAAAATGTTTCTGAGACACTTAAAATGTTCCCTTCTGCCATCTTATGGCAGGTTATAGCAAGAGTAATAGGAGGAACCATAAAAACTAGCTTACTAGCTTACCTTAAAACATAGATGGCCATAAAAAAATAGCTTACCTTAAGAGAATTGCCTGCTAAAATGACGAATCCAACGTTGATCATGATTAGATTCACATACTGCAATGTCCAAGTAAGAGTATAAGCTTGTCTACCTACCAAAGAAAGCATCAAAGCACAGTCAGCAAAACCAGATTCGATGTATTCTAGTGAGTGTAAAAGAGAGATGATATCCATCTTGTTCGAATAAAGGACTCAGCTGTTTGTCATATAGCTTTTAGCATATTCTTACCGTATATAAATCCAGCAAGATCTCTATATCTGATATGCCTCCTTCCCCCGAATTCATGAAGCTTTGCCACTAAGGCATTTGCATACATAGATAAGATTGTTGCCAATATCAGTCCAACCACACCGCCAACCCAACCCAATGGAACCATGATAGTGCCGGGATATCCGAGAACATAGGCACTGTTTACACCGGTTGTTAGAACAAACCCCACTTGCAACCATGAATCTACAAGCATAAGAGGTGAATGAAATTGAGTTAATGATAACAGCAATAAATATCACTTAAGCTTCTCCAACAACAAACTTCAATTACAAAGGTTTTACTTCTTTCTATGGAGCCATCATTGAATCATCTGCTAAAACAAGTCATAAAAATTCAACAAATAAATGACACTATGACATTCTTTCCATCCGCATAATAGTAAAATCCAAATGGAAATCCCATCTTTGCTACAAATCACTTAAGAAAAAAAAAAAAAAAAAAAAGGAAAGAGGTTTTCAGCTATAAGTCCAACTTTCTTCATGCTTTTGAAATTGAAATAAATATGATAATATAAAAAATAATGTAATCTATTTCAATTAATATCATGAGACATCTTCCCAACATTTTTCCTTACTTGAAAAATAAACAAAAATAAAATAAAAAATCTTTCACCACATCAAAACATGTTTTTTTTTTTTTTAATTAAAAATTACACATCTATTTATTTATTTATTTATTATTATTATTACTAAGGACAGCTTTTTATTTTCTCAAATTGACTTTACATAGAAAATAACGCCTATTGGAATAGAACCGACTGTGTATCCAGAGTTCCACAAAACCAATGCTATCACACATATGGATATAAGAAACCACAAATCTCTACATTGGAAACAGGTAAAAGTAAAATAATTAGGAAGACATAATTTAAGCTCATCTTCAAAGTAGAAATGTTAATCAAGCAAATGCATCAAAAACATCAATTCTTCAACATTCTGGATCAATTGTAAAAGAACCAAAATCGAACAAGCAAAAACTGCAATTTCACTAGTCAAAATGGGGAAATCCTCCAAACTTCAACACAGCGTATATCCAACGCCAGATCGCTAAAAAAAAACCAAACTCATAACCAGAATCTATCGATGCATATATCTCAAAGAGAAGAAGGAAACCAAAGCCGAAGCAACAATCAAAATCCAAACAAACCTTGGCTAATTTGATGAGCGGTAGCAGGAATTTCAACCGCGACACGATCCCCAGCACCGTCTTCTTCAACAGATACCGTCAAGAGGTCGTCGTCCCCCTCGGAGCCTCCTGCTTTCTCGCATGGCCCCAACAACGTGGTCGTCTCCTGCTCCGCGGAAGCCAGCTCGCCTGCTGCTTCTGCACCCCCGAATCCCTGCAATTCCGTCTCTGAACACATCGAAAACACCGTCAAACACAATGCGCATCAACACAAATCTTCGTCCAACCACGAACACCCACCGACCCACCCACCTGCGTTGAAATATAGAGAGGGAGAGAGAGAGAGGAACGGTTATGCCGTGGTGGTGCAGTGACTGAGGTTTGGCGCCGCGACGCTTTCAGGTGGGGATGCGGGAAATATATCGTTGAACGGAGGATGACGTGGACGCATCGCAGCCGTTAATCGATCAAACTGCCTGCCACGACATCATCACATTTTGCAGCAATTATTTGTAAAATATTAATTCTTAATAAATCAAACTTCTCCCTCTATTATTAATATTATTTTGCATTTTTATTTTGGTAACTTGTCCGTTCCTCGAACCTAATGTCGACGTGTCGTGCTTTGATTCGCCAGAATTTAATTGATTTTAGTGTAACGTATAATTGTATTACGGGCTCCATTAAATGCTTGGGACTATTTTGTCACTTACGATACACATGTCATCACAGGGTGTGTTTGTTTGGGAGTTTGGATTTTGGATTGGGATTTGAATAGTAAAAATTTTGAATTTGAATAGTTGTATGATGTGATATAAATAGAGTTTGATGTGATGTTTTGAATGTAAAATTGATTTTTAGTATAATATAAAAAATGAAAAATAGGTATTTGATTTGATATTTTTGGGAGGAAAAAATTGGATGAACAGTGTAAATCCTTCAAAATCCTTCAAACAAACACACCCATAGTGGACACCGCCTCATTCTTTACAAATTTTAGTATTCTCTCTCCTCATAAATTTGTTTAATTTTAGTATTTTTATGTTTAATTTTAGCATTTTTTTTTAGAAGATATCAACTATGAGTATTTGTTTCTATTTTTTTTTCTTTTTATTGAATATATATAATTTTACTTTAGTATATTTATGAATACTTCCATTATCGTATGTTCTGTAAATTAATTTTTACTAATAAAATTAAAAAATAATTTATGTTTAATTCTAAAATACTCAAATCTTATTTTTATCATTTTTTTCACTTTAATATTTTAATACTACCACTTTTACTTTTTAATATGTAAATAATTTGATATAATTTTTTTTATATATATTTTTTAAAACTATTTTAATTGTCATTTGTTTTATAAATAAAATTCTACGAGTAGATTGTTGGTTTTTTTTTTATTTTATATATTATTATATATTTATGATGTGAGAATCTACCGCCGCTATCCGAAAATGCGCACTGAGTAAACTTCGGCCACACTTAATATCTTCCAAACTAAGTTCGATAGGCAAGTCATATTAGGCGAATCATATATGACAGATGACCCGAAGACGTCAGGAGTTTGAACCTATGACCTTACGGTTTATTATAATTTTTATTAATTATATGGTGCTTAGCACAGGTACCGCTAGTTTTATAGATAAGCAGTCTCTCCTTCCATCACATTCATAATTATTCTTTTTTTCATTAAAAATATTTTCTTTATCTTATTCCCTTCTTACATATCATATCAATTTTTTATTTTTATCCGTTTTAAATATTTGTCATTTTTCTTTTTTTTTTTAAAACAAATATTTTATATTTTAATTATATTTTAAATTTTATAATTTATAAATTTGAAATTTTGATTAGACTAATTAATTATTTTAATATTAATTTATAATTATTTGTATCATATTATAATTAATTTTACTAATATATCGATAATTATTTATTAATCATGCTTGTTCATTCTAAATTTGATGTCTACTGTAACTGTGATGTGATATTAGAAATGGGAAATATCATTTTATTCTATTTATCATAGATGTGTTTATACAATATTTAGTAAAAAAATATCATATATCTTTAGATTTGTAATTATTTTTTTTTTTTATCTATTTACTTAAATATTACTAATGAACTCATATTTTTTATACTCGTTTTATTTTTATTCAAAAATTATACTAATCTTATAAAGGTTTCAATTATACCCTTATAAAAATAAAAATAAAAATGTCATATTAAAATATTATTAATTTTTTTTTATATATTTCTGTCCAAATGTTTTAGCATTTTTTTTTTACAAAACGAATAAAGTATATAATTTTCATTTATAACAAAAAAATTACGGCTCTTTAATTTATAATCTTCATTATTATACTTTAATTATATTTGTTGGATTCCAAATCCAAATGACTCAAAGCTGAAGCTAACAGCTCTCATCAGGCTGCAGAGCTTTCATGGAACAGGATGGTATAGTTTTCACGTGTTTTTGGACAACAAGCTTTCACTCTGAATTAGCAACTTCATAATATTAATGGAAAACCTCGGCACCTACATGTCCTGTATGGAAAGTTCTATGAATCAAAACGAAAGAAAGAAGAGTGAGGATTCTATGAAACTCGAGGATGTTGGCGACATATCCCCGTAGACTGGCTAGGAATATGATGGAAACAAATCAGGGTAAGCTGCAGGTCTAATCCAGAGGCAATGGAAGAAGTTCAGAGCGAATGGAACCCGGTCCAAGAACGACGGAGGACGCTCAAAAACAAATGAAACTCGATCCAGAAGTAATGAAAGCGGCTGGGAGCAGATTGAAGGAGGTTAGCTGGCGGCTAAGAGAGGTTGAGAGGGGTTGAGGAATAATTGTAATCGTTCCTGTTACTGGGAGAGATGGTTATTCTAACTTAGGATTACAATTAGGAAAAAGAAACACAACACACACGCACAACATATCAAATCGTCTATTTTTTTACTTTTCTTTCATGTTTTATTTTCGTTTTTATGCAAGTTAATTCTAGTTACATGCTTTCTGCAATTTATTTACTCGCTTTCCATAGTTAATCGTAGTTTAGTTCGATCAATCTCGTGAAATCTTCATAACCCAACGACGGATTGGCTCTCTGGAGTACTTCCGAAACCCACACCGACGAAATCGACGAGTTATTTAGGAATTCCGAATTGCATGATCCAACAATATTAAATTTATCTAATATTTTCTCTAATTTAATTCATTTATCCATGACCTTCTCAAACTACTTTCCCCAATTTTTACTATTTATCAAAAAAAAATTTCTAAAAAATATCAAATCAAATATTTATTTTTTACATTTTATATTATATTAAAAATTAATTTTTCATTCAAAATATCATATTAATATATATATATATTTATATTTATATCACATCATGCAACTATTCAAACCGAAAACCGAAGTTCAATCTCCAAACAAACACATTTCATAATCAACAATATAATCTTATATTCATTAAAATATATGTCAAATTCATGAGAACATATTTTTGGTGAATGAAAGAATACTAAAATTTTGACGAGTTTATAATTATTATTTTACCTAAATAATTTTATAATATGTACTTAAAAGAATAAGAAAATGAATTACACATGAATAAAAAAAATAGATTAATATAAATTCGAAATAATAATACTAATAAGTCTACAAATTAAATATTACTAGATTGTTCTTGTCTTACATCTATTAATAATAATAAATCATGTTTCAATAAAAATACGGTTAATTTTTTAAAATTTTTATTTCACAAATTGTTTTCTTCGTCGGTCCCTGTTTATATATTTATTCCTTTTAACTCTCTATTTATTTTTTACAACTCTCCGTTTATAATTTTACACATTTTTACCTATAAATTTCCAATTTTGCGCTCAAAATAATATTTTTAATTTATAATTCTATATACGTAATGTAACTCAAAACTCTTAATTTGTACAACCAATGATCAATTTTATTATTTCATTTTTCACAAAATGACAACGAATATATGTTCATTAACTTATATATATTTTATTCAATCAAAGATTAATATTCTTTATAAATATTTTGTATTAGAAATTTAATAGTCGTGAACATTTAAATATATATATATATGTAATTTACTTGTAAGTATTTATATATATAATTAATCTACTTATTGTTTAACAATATTTGTAAAATTGAATATCACATACATTGATATTTTCTATAAATATTTTGTATTATTATTTAAGGGTTGCAAGTATATATATTTTATAATTATTTACTTTTTCATATTGTTATCTATCTGCTTATTTGTTTATTTTTTTAATGGTAAAAAGTGAAATTATATGGTAGAAATGAAAGATTATATGTGAAGATAACAAAAAAAAAAAAAAATTGAAGTTAAAAAAAAAGAAAGAAAAGGGTATTGTAGGAATTTTAAGCGAATAGGGAGTAAAGAAGAATAAATTAATAAAAATAGGAAGTAAAGTAGAAGAATTTAGTGTATAGAGAGTAAATAGAAAATTAAATTTATAATTAGAGAATATAATGAAAATTATAATAAATAAATAATAATAATAATAAAAAAACAACGCCATTAACATATTTTTAGCAAAGTATTCATATTTATAGAATTTCATTAAGTATGGACTATTTTTAGATATTGATAAGCTGTCAATATTATATAAATAATTAATTTATATCTGCTACCTATTTTCATTAATTATATCTAATTTAGTACTATTATCAAAAAAAAAGGAAAATAAATAAATAAATAAACAAACTCTGTATTTGATGTTAAATAATAATAATAATAATAATAATAATAATAATAAAAACCCTCCAAAAATTGGAATGGACCACATCCTTTTAAATAATTTTAATTTGAATTTTCAAAGGTTTATTTATTTGTTTGTTTGTTTATTCATTTATTATTATTATTTTTTGTTTGATATATTTATACTTTCACATGCGAAGTTTCTTGAATTTTACTTGACAGGGATTTGTTAATTGGACACGTAATTAAAGCTGAATATATTATTACGTTTATAAACTAATTTAAATAACACTCCCTTCAGTTCGGTATAGTCTTATTGTGTTGGATACGAGATTTGAAAAATATTGATATTATATTGATATTTAGTAAAAAGTAAGGATAAATGACTTTTTTGCTCTTGTGAATATATTAGTGTAAAAAGCGGTAACAATTGTGTAATAATAATGAAAAAGTAAGGATAATTTTATGGTGATATGGTTATTTATGAAAATGAAACTATTGTTTTAAAACGAACAAAAATGATAAATAAAACTATTGTATTGGGAAAGAGGGCTTAATAATAATAAAATGAAAATGGAAGCCATGTTGAGAGTTGACATTCTCATATAAAATAAAAAACTTTAGTTGACAGAAATTTATTGAGTAAATTTATACTACATCCTATATTTAGAAGGGTTACTTTTTATATAATTATATACT